AAACTTTCAGCAATTGTAAACTCCATGATGTCCTTGTTCTTAAATGTTTGCTGATATTAGTGAAGATACCTCTTTTGTTCAAATTAATTCAGTATTCCCATGAAAGCACTTTCCAGTATTACCAATCCTTTCAGGACTGAGTTCAGTAATTAAGATCCACAAAATGGACAACATTGATGTAGATCCAGAAGTTTTTGCTCTGAGGCAGTCAGCAGCTTGAACCTCTATGAAGTCATTAAATGCCTACAGAACTGGTTCATTTGTTTCATTTTTATAATTTTCCTGACAGAAAAAAACTTGAGTTTCTGTTTCCATAACTAAATAAGAACATACTTCTGTGCAATCATCCAGGTAGCTTGTTTTAAGCAGAATAAACAAGCTCTGGATCATAATAGATTGAAGTGATTCTTATACCTATCATGAATATAATATGTATAAAATGTTTCTGCATATGGCCAACTTATCAAATCCATCAAACTTATCATATGATACCTCTTAAAATAGCTATTTATCAGTTTTATATGTTCTTGCATACCAGTCAATGTTTTCATAATGATAGCATCATTTAACAGAGGCCTTGTTTGTCATGGCAGATGAGAGTAGTGTCAGTGACTATAATGCAGTACTGTACCATAGATTTTGTGCATGGCTAATCAAGATACCCACAGAAATTTACATTCTCATGCAGCAGTATGCATTTATTCAGAGCAGCACACTGTAGGTTGGTGACAATGACCAGCTTGCCCAACTGGCAACAGGTGTGATGGACACCATCATCATTCCTCTGGACATATCTGGTGTTGTCACTTATCATATCACTTCCTTCTAAAAGGAATGGCTCTTTGGGAGATACAATGAAGAGGAAAATTTGGCTCTAAATTGCCTAGCCCTCCTGGGCCTGACTCAGCTAAGTTCATCCATGCATTCACAGTTGAAGGTACTGAATAATAATTTAAAAAAAGCAACTGTTATGATCCTGTAAATTTTGAACTTAAACCAAGCATGGGACCTACCTTGCATCGAACATTGAGGACAGGTGCATTTACTGCAGCTTCATAATCCATGTACCGCTCTTTCTGTGAGTTTGAACAAGGCTTATCCCCTTTCAAATGCTTCCCTGCATGAGTATTGCCAGGTATTAATTGTGACTCCATCAGACCTTGTCCTTCAATGGAATCTCCACTCTCTGAGTCTTCGCTGCCATTATGGAGTGGAATCATGACATGGGCTGCCTGTAAATTTAAAATGTTACATTCAAGCTTTATAGATGCCTTATTTGCATATAAAGTAGCCCTACAGTCTCATCTGAATTTCAATGTAGCAACTCAATATGTAAAGCATCTGTTGCATTCCCTGAGTGAGGCAATGCATCAAATTTAGTCTCAAACTTGTCAATACACTTATAGCATCATTTTATGAATCACTGCAGCTGTATTCCGTGGTTTGAGACAAAACTTGATGAAGCATTGCCTCACTCTAGGAATACAACAGACACTTTACACAATGAGTTGCTACATTTCTAGCTAGTCTTTCATGCACAATACTAGTTTGACAAGGACTTACACAACACTAGCCAACAGTCTAATTTATCAGTCAATAGCATGGCAATCATTTTTGTGATATTGTCGTACTCATAAAAATTTTGTCCAGGAACTTGTCACACCTAGTACTGTCCCAGGTTCTGGATACAAATCCCACCTTTGCCACAATTTTATTTTAGGGCAGGTCAATATGGTTTGTTAATTAATTATTTCAAGCAAAATTGATCAACATCATTAGGGAAATACCATGGGTTGAGAGACAATTAAAAGAAAAATAATCTCAGACAAGTAGCAAGAGGAGAGGGTAGAATTCACTACAGATGTCAGTCACAGTCATATGACTTGCATTCCCAAGGTAAACTGTCCATGCCTTCCATCATATGCTTTGTTCCCTTTTTATATCAGAGATATCATATCTGATCTTGTACATGCCACTTCTAACTTTCCTTCCCAAGACTTTGCCCCCCTTAAGTAATCCCAGGGGGGATGGGAAAAACACATGCTACCACAAGCCCACTGCTGGGATAAATGGAAGGTGCATTTTAAAATTTAGATCCAGAAATACAGGTACTCAGCTGACCAAGGCTTCTCTCTCTCTCTCTCACTCTCATGATGCCTAAGGTCTATCCTTTTCACCTCCTGTGAAACCACACCTGGTGCTACCTTTATCCAACATGAGCTCATGCAAATACTGAACCATGGCAGCAATGATGAATTATCCATAAAAAAATTTTCATATAAATATTGCAATATATATGCAGCATGTTGATGATATATATATATATATATATATTGGCTGATATAGATTGATAGTGTGTTATCACAATAATTGGCACTGCCATACTTTTTCTTTCTCAGTAGGGGCAGGCATGCTGAATGCATATTGCCATGTTTTTTACTGGAGTCATACAAATTTTCACTTGACTTGGACATTCATGCAGGAAATATTCCTCATATGATTGTCTGAGTCAAGTGAAAAAACTAAGACATTATGCAAGAAAAACTTTTAAAGGGCAGAGAAGTGCAAGGAATGGGAGTAGGCCTAGTCATGGAAGAGAATGGACACCATGGCAAGAATGGGGAACATGACAGGCAAACCACATGGCCACATTAATGACAGAGACTCAATATGGGAGAGAAAAATTCACTCCTCACAGGCTTCCCGCAGCTTAGGTACCCTGTACACACCTTGTCTTAACCATTTCAGACCTGAATTAAGGCCACTATGAGAATAATATAATTTTTTTCATTTTTGAGCTCTTTGCTATTCTAATTTAAAATTTTATGTCCTATATATCGTTTTTATATATTTTTTTATAAATTTACCATACCATACCATATGTTATATATAATTCATGCATTTACATAACTGAAGATTACAAAACTGACGGGTGAGAGATCTCCAATGGAACTGAGCCATGCGTAATTGCACCCATTATAGTGTAATATGGGGCACAAAATCACAAGAATCCCAAGAAATTAACATAGGCTCAATGGAAATGCAATGTCCATTGGAATGGATGCTGGGCCTGAAAGGGTTAATGAAGAGTATCATTATCCACCACACAATATTGATTTGTAGATATTTACAGCAGATCCATGATTGTACTTCAGACTTAGCTAATGCTATCCATTGATTACAAAAGGCTTATACATAAAACTGGAGTACATGACAACTTACACCCTGAGAGGGCAATATACGCCAGATGGAAGGTCCTGTAGGTATCATGAGAGTATTTCCTGTCATAGTAGCAATATTGGATGATTTGGAGAACACACTCCCTGAACTGGAAGCTGGAGTCCTGGTAACTGTCTGAGATGAAGTGACATTGGAGGAAATAGAAGTCTGATCAACAACAGCGACACTGACACTAGAATCAACTGTGTCCCCAGTCATTTCAGGTATAACAACAAGTTCAGTTGTACAGTCTTCATCCATTATCAATGCTATGAGTATAAATCAGTGCTTCTTTCACTTCACTGTGAATGTTCACCAAAATCACTGCTTTGCAACAAATTCTATCTAAAGCTAGGTCATCCAACTTCTGTTATGTTCCTAGGGGATGAAGTACCTTGGGACTTGGAAGGTCACCATTTGTCACTTAATTCACTGCTCAAACATCATCATTATTCCTTAACATGAACTAAGCATTTCACTATCATTTGATGAACAGCAGTGTTTTTCAGTGGAGTTAGACAATTTTTTACTTGACTCAGACACATGTGTAAGGGACAATCCTCATACATGAGTGTTGATGTCAAGAGAAAAAGTGTCTGACTCAAGTGAAAAACACTGTAGAAGTCAATCACAAAGCTGCCTTTGGCAACATAAACCTAGGCCTAGTCTGAAGCTTAAGTCTTTCTTAACTTCATTTGCACGTGTAGGCATCTGAAGGTGTTCGTGCCAAAAATGTACTATAGTCAATGAAATAGACCATACAGCCAAGGCATACAGTATTTCAACATTATCTACAAATTATGATATAACATTGGAAGCATAACCATGACAAACTCCCAACTGGTGGAGTTTCTTCAGAAAGAAAAAATTCAAAATGTCACAGGAACAAATCACCAAGGAACAATCAGGAAATCTTCAAAGTAATAATAAAAAAATGTTTTCCAACCCCTAACTTTGAAGAATTCCTGAAGAAGGGGGATTTGTTTCCTTTAAACAGTGTCTTGACAAATTGTCTTGTCATACTTCAAGAATCTTGAATAGCTTTCAAGGTTTTCAGCCAGTAAAAAATAACGATTGGTTCAGCCATCCCTTAGGTGAGTGGTTGGTGATGATTGGGGTTGAGGTGGATCTGGCTAAAGGCCTTGAAGGTCATTCAAAATTATTGGAGAATAACAAGGAACTTTTCATGACACTTCTGCAACATTTGATGGATTACTGCAGCTGTATTGACCGGTTTGAGACAGAATGTGATACAGCATTGCTTCACTCTGGGAATATGACAGATGCCTTACACACCGAGTTACTACATTGCCAGCCAAACTCTCATTCAAGATGCTAGTCAGATGAGGAGACACTACACTGCAAAACTGTTTAATCTATTAGTCCATGGAATGGAAATAATTTTTGCAATATTGACAGACTCACAAAAAAATCAGTCCTGGAACTTTATTGCCACACCTTGTATGCATTCATTAGAAGAGGTAATGATATTTCCATAAGAGTTTTACTCTCTCTCACAAGGACTGAACATTGATTATACATGACATTCCTTGAAATTTAAGCATCCATTGAGAGATGTCCCACTTTCATGGCCACTTTCAAGCAATTTGTTGAACTCAAGCATCCTAATGATGGAGCTTTCCATCCTCATTTGTAGCTACTTGTTCCTGAAGACATCTCACATATATCCATCCTAATTTCTTCTTTGTGAGTTTTCCTTTATTGGGTTACTCCATGCAACCCAGTAGTAATTCTTACTTATGGGATGAATCCTCCCAATAACTTGGGCACTACTTAGATTAAATGTCCATAGATATTGCTTTGCCCTCTCTAAAACATAAATGTTAAATGTGTGCAAAACAAGTAGTGTTGGGTAGCATTTGAAATACAATTATAATTTTAAAAATGCTTTTTTAAACACTTCTAGCACTTTTACTTCACATTTCAAGCACTCTCCCCTTAATATATTAGGTATTAGTTTTTAAAATACTAAAAAACAAGTATTTCATATCTGCATGTGCTAATAAGAATTCAAATACAAAATATTTGCCTTGGAGCACTTAAAATCCAAATCCCAAGTATTGGCTGAATAGAGTGCTTGATTTTTTAAATAAAAAATGTTTAAATTATTTTTTTTTTTTTAAAGCATTTTTTCAACAAATGTATTTCAAATACTGCCCAACACTGAAAAAAAAAGAGTGAACTGTGCAGACCAGGAGTAATATGTATAATCCTAAAAAAAGGTTTTGACCTAGGTCTCATTTGGGGAAGTAGGCATCGAGCTAGTTTGGAACAATAGACTCTATCTGCGATTACATTGAATCTGGTTTGACTAAACATTTTCAATAAATTTCATGGGCCAATGAGAGGCCTACTCTCAATGAAGAAAGTTTGAAGGAAAAGCACCTTCTTCAACTTTCCAGGAAGGAGTGGGAATACCATTCCCTTACTTCCTGTAAGAAGTTTTTAGAATAATTTCCAGAGGGCTCCTGCAATCAACAACAGGCTTTAAGTAAAATAAGAGGGTTATTTAAAATATATTCGTAGATAATAATAAAAAACTCTGACCAAAAAACCCAACTGGAATTGCTGCGGCAAGAAAGAACAGAGGATTTTGATCCATACTCTTCGTCTGGAACGTTCCCATACTTCAAACTTTATGGGTCCACTTTCGGCAAAGCTAACACACATTAACTTTTCCTTTGCCCACTCCTTAGAGTCAATCCAAGACGACCGCTCGTGTCTCCCTATTTTTTTCTCTCGGAGATTTGTAGGCCTTTGCCCTTCGGCTTATCTAGGTCGAGATCCCTGCAGCCAGAGTTCGACTTCGACACCCAGTCAAGAAGCAAAGCACATGGCCTCAGGAGGCAGCCATCATGTCAGTTACCTATACCTGTCAATGTCAGATCCAAAAACTCTTGGATGCAATTCGGAGGGGTGACAATAAGTCCCTTGCGTCCTAGAGATCCATGGTGTCCAATACGTTCGCCACTCGCCACATTTTATTGTGTATCAGTCTTGATTGATGACGGTTTAGAAACTCAAACCTACTTTCAGGTACATGATAACTTGGGAGATTCGGACCACTGCGCTATCACGTGGAATATCAAGCGGACGAAGAGTAACGCCAA